GTTGTTGTTGTTAAGTGCCATAGAGTCGGTTCCAACTCATAAGGTTTCTGAGGAGCGCCTGGTAGGTTTGAACTGCCAACCTTGTGGTTCAAACTGACCTTGCAGTTTTGCCTGCCACACCAGGACTCCAAGTAATCCTGAAAGAAGACTTGGGAGACCTTACATTACAGAACTGAGGGTTCCCCCCCTGCCCGAAACAATCCCCACAATGACTTTGCCATTCATGGTGAGCGAACCTAGTCTGTGGTACGTGACTGTTACCCCACTCACTACTTCTCAGTGAGGAGGATGGGATAAGGGTAAGACATCTGAAGAAGTTGAGGCCTTTGTCTGAGAAAGTCAGCACGGGGTCTGTAAGCAAGGAGTAAAGATAATACTCAGAAGTAGGATTGAGGATACCCTCATCCTACAAGTCATGAGTATCAGCTCTATCCTGTACCTTTTTTCAGCCTTAAATGGTCTTAAGAAGATGTGCCTGGATGGGGTCTCTTCACTTCTTTCTCGTTGGTTTCAGGGATATGAACTCTTGTTGTGAGTTTTGTCTTAGATTCAAGAAAGACAAGTACCCTGAGTGAGCAATGAGGGGTCCTTCACCTGAAACTGTAGGGATCTCACAGAATCCGACCTGCCCTTTCTGTCAGCACTGGGAAACTCAGGATTGAACTTGCAGTCAGTATCCTGAAATGTCTCTTATGTTCTCTCACAGGGATGCAAGGAAGTAGGTGGTGAGGACCTTTGTCTGAGATACCCATCCTTCAGCAGAGCAGAAGGGACACAGGCGCTGTGAGTGGTCAAGGTGAGTCTCTGAATGTGTACTAAGGCCCCACCCACCCTGGAAGTGAGGGGACCTCACAGTCCCTGACTCACTCACCCCCCTGTCAGCCCTGGAAGTTCTGGCTGAACCTGACCTGTGTCACTTCCTCCTTCAGGAAACAGTAGACCTATAAGCACTGTAGAAGACATATATGTCAGCCTTTGTTAGAGTTTCCAAGGTGAGTTTATCAAGGGATGCTACTGACGCTCTCCCACTCTCTCTCCTGTAGCCCTGTGGAATCCCATTATCAACCCTCCTGCCTGCAGTCTCTGACAATAGCCATCATGTCGCCCCCATCAAAGCGTAGACGTTATTCGCTTGAGCAAAGTCTTCATCCGCAAAGTGAACACCAGAGCCAGGAGGAGGAGGCGCAGGTCTTCCTGGCTGAGGAAGAAGAGGTCTCCTCTTCTTCCACCAGCTCCTCCTGTTTCCCCTTATCTTCTCGCTCCTCCTCCCCTAGCTGTTCTCTGCTCCCAAGCACCCCTGAGAGTGTTTCTGCTACTGGGTCTCCTTTTAATTCCCAGAGTCCCCAGATATCCTACTCCCCTTCCCAAGCCATTGCAGCCCCCTGTGTGTCCAGCAACTTAGATGAGGGCTCCAGCAGCCAAGAAGATGAGGGTCAGGGCATTTTGCAGGCCTCACCAGACTACGAGGCCATGCTTAGACAAGCACTAGATGATAAAGTGACTGATGTGGTGCAGTTCCTGCTCCTCAAATATCAAATGAAGGAGCTCACCACAAGGGCAGAAATATTGACTATCATCAGAGAATACCAGGACCACTTCTCTGTGATCTTTAGGGAAACCGCAGAGTGCATGCAACTGGTCTTTGGCATTGACATGAAGGAAGTGGACCCCAGCAGCCACTCCTATGCCCTTGTCAACACACTGGGCCTCACGTATGATGGAATGCTGAGTGGTGACTATGGTGTGCCTAAGACTGGCATTCTTATACTTGTCCTGAGCATAATCTTCCTGGAGGGCAACTGTGCCCCTGAGGAGAATATCTGGAAAGCTCTGAGTACGATTGGTGTGTATGCTGGGAGGGAGCACTCCGTCTACGGGGACCTCCAAAAGCTCATCACCAATGATTGGGTGCAAGAGGGCTACCTGGAGTACTGGCCGGTGCCCAACAGCCATCCTACCCGCTATGAATTCCGGTGGGGTCCTAGAGCTCACGCTGAAACCAATAAGATGAAAGTGCTTGAGTTTTGGGCCAAAATCTGTGATAGTGACCCCAGAAACTACCCATTCTGGTATGAGGAGGCTTTGAGAGATTTAGCTGAAAGAGCCCAGTCCAGCGTTGCCACAGAAATCACTACTGCCATGTCCATTGAGAGTTTTCCAGGGCCACATCCAGCAGCTTCTTCCCAAAGTCCAGTTTCAGGCCATCCCTCACACTCTGTTTAAGAGGGAAATCATTGTTCTAAAAAGGGGAGGACCGGCGTATAGTATCTTTGTGTTCCTGTTCTATAGGGGAAATGAGAGTTGTATCCTCTTCTCTTATTGGTGTTTTTCAAATGTTGTTCCCTTGAATAGATAAGATTTAATTTGCTTCAGAATTTAAGTTTACTAATGATATTGATTACACATCATTTTCATGTGGTTCAGAAGTGAGAATTTTGTTATTCTGTAAAACACATTGGGAAGCTGTCTATCTTACACAGTGATCAGAAACAAAATATTGTGAGACACTGAAACAGAAATTTCTTTGTAAATGTGAAATAATTTTTCAGTGCTATAGAATGTGAAAAATAAAATATGTTTGGATGTTCTTCTTAGTCTGTGTTGTGTGATTATAAAAGCTATATACATGGGTTTGCTTGGTTTGTAAGCTAAACAAAACCTTAGTACATGAAGCCCTGGCTTACAGTTTCTTTTTTCCCCAAACATGAATCGAGGTTCTGCTACCTAGGAGAGACCGTGTTAGTGAGGGATCCTAGGCAAAGCAAGACACAGCCCTTCTCAGAGCCTTGTCCAGGAGTCGGTCACACGGGAAGACACTAGATGCCCCAAGACTCTAAAGCCCATTGAAAGAGGGCGTAAGTTATGGGGTTCCAGGTGGGAGGCTGCCCACAGAAGTGCCTAGTCCAGGCAATTTGGAACTTTGGGAAAGTGCAGTTCCTCCTGTGGAGTTCATTGTGAGGAAACTGGTAGGAACCTGGCTCTAAGACAGTGACTTAGATGCCAAAGAAAATTCTGGATGGAAAACGGTTCTTCTTGGGTACTTTGGGGTCATGGAGAAGCCAGCGAGAAAGGCCCACCTGGGGCAGGTCTGTGCGGTGTCCTGCGTTCTTGTCCTACTGTGGAAACCGGTGTTCATACCCTCTAGTGAGAGGACGGTTTCACTAGGTCTCCCTCAGTGCACTTTGTCTGAATGGAAACAAGGTCCACATGGTTAATGCTGCAAAACTTTCCCAGAAGAAAAGGGAGTGGGGTCTGGGACCACAAGAGTCCTAGAACTAAATGGCATTCATGAAAAATGCTAATGCTAACCATCATGTTCACTTTTACTGTGCCACGTGTAATCTGCCATTGATTATAGTGATAGATGTGCAACAAAGACACCAATTTACTGATTTCTATACATACAATACAATGACATTGATTACATTCTTCAAGTTGTACAAACGTACTCACTAGTGCTTTCCAAACCAGTGTTGTTATATAAGGTCAGATATAGTAGCTTATATATCTCAATGTTGACATCATTTTTATCAATTCTATTTAATCTTTCATCTCATTTCTTGAGTAGTGTAATAGTTATTTTAATGTCCTTATTTTTAATCTGCCTTATTTTTGGATAACTTCTGATTGATTTTTTTCCTCCTCATTATTGATTGTGCTTCCGTGCTTCTTTGAATGACTGGTAAGCTTCATTGGATGCCAGCCATTATAGAGTTCATTTACCTTATTGAGGATTGAATATTTTTGTGTTTTCATTAAAAACAAAAACAAAACTGAACGGTTCTTGAGGTTTGATCTGGGACACAGTGAAGTTATTTGGAAATAGTGTGATGAATTCGGGTTTTGTTTTTATTCTTTGGTAGGTGAGGTAAGAGAAGCAATTAGACTAATATTTCTTCACCACTAAGGCATATATATGGGGCAGGACTGGGCAGCATTTTCTGTTGTGTTACACAGAGTCTCTATGTGTTGGTGAAGCTGAAGGGCACCTAACAGCATCACAATAACAACACCAAAGCAAAATCCTTTTCCGAGTAACAGTGCCCCATGAATTAGGAAGTTTTCCACTCTGACTGATGGGAATAAGAGCTCTTCCCAGTCCTATGTAAGTTCTGGAGCTCTCTCTCTGTGTATCTGTGTCCTTTTTGGAATGTTCTCCTGCAGATTCTAGTCACCTTGACCTCCCTAGACTCCAAGGTCATTCTCCTCAAATCGCTTTCTTGTGTTGTGGTGTGCGGTCTCTCTCTAGGCAGTCAGCTGGGCAATGGTCTATATCCTCTCACTTATTTGTCGTCTTTCAGAGATCACTCTCTTTTCCTTAATGTCCAATAAATTGTAAATCATTGTTTTATATTTATTTATTTTTATAAGTTTTTATTGTGAATTGAGTGATAGTTTACATGGGAAAACATTGGTTATACACTCATTGTTCCATTGAATTGATTACAATCTCCTGCTTGCATCATCATTCAGTAGTATTTGCTTCTATTCCCTGTTTTTTATTTTGTTTGTTGTTTTGTTGTTTTCTGTGATGTACACAAAAACACTTAGGAATATATAATCATTTAAATAACCAAAGGGCTCGATTCTGCAAGCCTGCCTCCAGGCCACCAACACACAGCCTTTGTCTTTCATGAGTCTAGAGTCTTCTGCTGATCTCTCTTTGTCCTCATCTCTGCCTCCATCTCTAGTGTTACTGCTTCACTGCATAGGATCACACATTCTCTTTGTGCTCTTCTCCATTGATGGTCCTGGGGTCCTCTGTTCCTGGAATGTAAGATTAACTACTCCCCCTTTATGTTACAAAACTACTACAATTACAGTTGTGACCACAGCAGTGCATCATGATAACAGTTACTCACTATTTAATCATAAGAATCTTATC